CCCCCCCCCCCCCCCCCCCAAAAACCACAAAAACATTTTGTCCCTTGCTTAATAGGTTCTGGCAGGGGTTGCCAACCGGGGGTATGGGCGTACCCCTGGGTGTACTTAGGAAGGCCCCAGGAGGTACGCAACGGCAGCACGTAGAAGCAGGGGTACTTTGAAGCAGCAGTGCGTCTGGCCTGGGGGGAGTGGGGGGTGCTGATGGCCAGGTGGATGGGAAGCTGGTGGTGCAGAGAAGCAGGGGTACCTGGGAAACAATAGCACGGGGGTGGGGGCAGGGCTGCCACCATCCATCACTTCATGCTTCTGCTGGGTGCGAATGTTGCTTTCCTATGCCCAAGTATCCCCACTTCTCTGTGCCACCAACATCGTGTGTGGCCGGCTGTCAGCACACCCTCCCCCCGACGTGTGGCTCTGAGCGTATAGATGGCAGCAGGGGCGGCCACTGCACCTGAGCTCCCCACACCACTGTCACATGGCAGAGGGGGCATGGAGCACTGACGGCCAGTTGCACGTGAAGCCAGCGGCATGGGAAAGCAGCATCTGGCAGCAACATGGAGTGTATTGATGAGGGCAGTGGCGTGTGAGCTCCCCACGCTGCCAGCTTCGCATCTGGCTGTTTGTAAGCATGCCCCCGGATCTGCACAGGGTGGGGCAGGCTACCATTGCAGGCTGGGGTCAGGGCTGCACCAGACTCTTCCCAGTTGGGGGGAGGGGGCGTGGACTATGCTGGGGAGGGCTGCAGCCACTCCAAGATTCACTATAGCCCCCCCCCGCCGCCCGCTCAGAGTCCAGCACACCCCGTCCCCACCCGAGGAAGAGCCTGGCGCTGGCCCAGCCACAGCCCGCAGCAGCAGCCCATCCTGCCCCACACCGATCCGGGGGCACATGCCCCACCTATGTCCTCCTGGGACACATGCAGCAGCAGGAGCTGCCACCCCTCCCTGCATCCCCTGGACAAGCCGCTGCTTTGTCTCACGTCCCGCCCCGGCTGTGCAGGGTCTGGTGGGGTGGGGGTTCCGTGGGCTCTGTCCCCTCCAGCCCGGAGGCACAGCCAAGGGTGGCCCCACTCTGTCTCCTGGCTGGAGGCCCCGGGTGGTGAGGGGCCGGTGCTGGGGTGGGGAGGCAGCTAGGGCCAGCATGGGGCTAGGGACGATGTATTTGTTGGTGCGGGGGGTGCCAGCTCTGGGCAATGGCCCCGGGTGCAGGGAAGGGACGAGCGCAGCAGACCCCAGCCTGATCCTGGGCCCAGCTCAGCTCAGCTCCCTCCCTATCCTTGCCAGGTCCCAGCCCTGCCCCACCCCCGGTGGCCTTTTCCCCTTCCCTGCAGATTTTCCCACAGCCAGCCGGGCGTGGGGTGGGTGCTGACGTTACCACCTCCCCCCGTCCCGCCACCCAGCTGGAAGAGGGTATAGTCCAAAAGAGGTACCCACAGAAGGGGTACACTCCTTAAAAAAGGTTGAAAACCGCTGGGTTATAGGATTAAACTACTGTCTGACTTACTGAGTATTCTTTATAATGATCTGTTATTCGCTGACGTTCTTTTTCTTGCAGTATAACAGAATACTCAGCATGTTTGGCAGGGTACTCTTTAATCATCAGGTCAATTACTTCATCACTGCGCAAAGCTGTTAAACCTAAAGAAAACAGAAAACTCTAATGACAGTACCTGGCAAAACTAGTTGTGAACCATTTATTGTTTTGATTACTGGCCTATAGCAGGTCTGTCCAACTTCTGAGGCCAGGGGCTGCACCATACTCAGGTCACAGCCCTCTGAGTCGTGTGCCATGTGAGCCACCTAGATCCCTCTCCCTACGATGTGGGCAGTGTGACTCCCTACTCCCAGGCATGGCAGCAAAAAGCTGGAGGAAGAAGCAGCCCAGAGACCCTGGTGGCAGCAGCAGCTGGAGCATTGGAGGAGTAGCAGCTACCGAGGGCCAGGTGTTAACCCTTGCAGGCTGCATGCAGCCTACAGGCCACCAGCCAGACAGCCCTGGCATATTGTAAAATTATCCAATTAAAGCTGACGGCCGAACATATCCAATATATTTCTCTCTGATGTTTGCAATTATGTAACAATCCTTCTCTCAAAAGTTTCTCATGCAAATCAAAATCCTTTTTATTTTCATTCATTAAGCCTACGGGATGTGTGTGGCTATAAATCTCACTTTGACATGAATGGAAGTTCTCTCTCTAAAACCCCAGGTTTTAGAGACAAAAAACAGACAAAAGCCAGCATTGTTCAAAATTAGCACCTACTGATATTCTGATTAAGATGCTGGTATATATCAATTAAATACCTAAGCCCCCCCCCCAAATAAAACATATGGGAAAGTAATTAAAAAGTTTAAAAAATAATTAGCTTTTTGTATAAAGCAAAACAAAAGGGTTGTGTGGATTTGGATCAAAGAAAACCATTAGGAAAGGCACTCTTTAATCAGTAAGTCAAACTAGTGTAATTTCATTAGAAGGGGAAGAAGAAAACTTTTAAAGAAAAGATCAAATGCAAACAGTGTTATGGATTTTATGCTGTTACAAAGGTGTTTCAGTGCTTTAATTTGTTTTTTCTAGGACCTCAAACCTGTAAGCTCATCTGTCTCAGCAGAACTTCTTGCCTGCACAGAGCTCCATTTAAAGCCCTGGGACTTCTTAAGGAGAGTTTCTTCTCCATGTGGAGAAGAAAGGCAGATGTTGGCAAAATAACTTCTTCCTTTATAAATGAAGTAATTTGAATGGGTCAAAAACAAAGACTAGTAGTCTATTTGAGGTCTTATGCTCAAATGATTACATGCTCTTAAAGTATCATTGAAACCAATTCTAATTTCAGAACTTAGGTGATGAGTCAAGAACTACTTGATTCTACCATTTTAAGGCACAAATAAGCCAACCAAGTCATTTTATCTTTGTCTGCTTTCATATGCAACTCAAACACACTACCTTTTTTCTTACCTAATGTACACTGAGTCTCTGTGATGACATTTAGTTCTCTGAGGTAGAGTTTCTCCTTGTGAGATAGATCCCGTCTCTCTAAATCTCCAGGAGACAAAACACCAAGCAAAGTGTATTGTTATCCACTTCCAAATGCATCATAAAAGGTATTCTATAGCTAAATCAAATATAAGATTTATGTTTTTTGGGGGGGTTTTTTTTTACAGATTCTTTTTCAGATTTTATACGTTGTTTTAGTTAATAGTGTACCAATTATACAATTATAAGTCTTGTACCTACAATTATACAGAAGTAGTCTGAAAACAGTAATATATACAAGGACGTAATCCAAGGGGAATTAGTCTGACTGACACCTGTCTGCACAAATGCACACATGAATCTATTAACAGTTCATTTACAGATTGGCAGCTTTAATAATTAATTTTCCCATGAATTTGAATTAAAAGGTCACTGACTAATAAAAAAGACAAAAATAATTTTAACAAGGATTTTTTCCCCCCAATTCTAATACAAGGACCAGAACAGTTTACGATGAGAGAGAACCAGATTAAAATCAATTGGTACTTAAGTAAAGGCTATGCTCCCCAATTATTTTAACATTTTTCTAGTCTGGACGTACTGTAATGCACGATTGTCCAAGTCCTAGAATGATAAACTAAATCTAGTCACACCACCTAGGCTGAGTAAAATCAAGATTAACAATTATAATCAATTCTAGAAAATAAAAATCAGGGATATGACTTTAAAAAATAAGGTAAGCATCCATCAATGGAAATCAGACTCCTCTACAATGTTTCAAAATGAAAACCTTAGCTAAAAATTAGATGGGTAACAAAACTACTGGGACTAAAAGATGAGAAAAAGAAATACATTGGTTTTAGCGTTCTCTTAATTGTACGCTGCTGGGTTTTTGGTTGTAGCCGTGTTGGTCTAAGGACATAGGCAGGCAAGGTTCTCTGAGTACATGTAATACCTTATTATACCAACTGAGTGGTTGGAAAAAAGCTGTTAGCAAGCTTTCAGGAGCAATCATCCTTCTTCAGGCATAGGAAGTCTCTTCTGTTCTGAGACTCCAAGAAATGAGAGAAGCTAAAAGCGTGACACAATGTCAGTGAGAATGAGAAAACCTTGTGTTTTCCTAATGTCTACCTCTTTACTAGGGCTGTGCGAAGCTTTGGTCACCGATTCGATTTGGAGGAGATTCAGCCTGATTTGGCGGCCGAATCTCCAAATCCGAATCGAATTGGGAGACAAAAAAAAAGGTGTGAATTGATCCGAAGCCTCCAAACCGATTTGGTAAAAGATTCGGAGGAGATTCGGACAGTCCCCGCTCACCACCACAGGGAGCTGGACCCAGACTCCATGCTGATAAGTAGGAGATGGGGGGGAGGGGGGCTGGAGAAGGGGAATTGGTACCATGAGGGGACCCCCACCAGGCACCATCCCCTGCCTGCTCCCCCAGTCCCTCTGAGCGCCCTCTGACCCCCGTCCACTCTCCCAGCCCAATCAATGGCTGTCCCACACAGCCCCAGTGTCCCAGCACTTTAAAAAAAAAAGCCCCACACTCACCAGCTGCTACCAGGCAGGGGGGGCAATCCCCACTGCCCCGTGCTGCATGGGGGGCTCTGCCACGAGCCCCCATCCACCGCCCACTCTCCCAGCCCCACCACCCATGGCTGCCCCACCCGGCCCTAGCATCCCAGCTCTTAAAAAAACAAACAAACAAACAAAACCACCCTGCACTCACTGGCTGCGGCAGTGGCCATCAGGGCCTCTGGGGGCTTGTGGCAGAGCCCCCCGACACAGCGCAGGGCAGTAAGGATCACCCCCACTCCTGGCAGAAGCCAGTGACTGCACGGCTTTTTTTTTTTTTTTTTTTTTTTTTAAGAGCCCAGATGCTGGGGCTGAGTAGGGCAGTGAGAGCGCACAGGGGATGGGGTCTGTTCGATTCAGAGATTCGGCCAATTTGGCGGAATGGATTCGGGACAGTGATTCAAATTATCGAACTGAATCACTGTCCCCTGAATCGGCTGAATCCAAATCCGAAGCGAGTATTAGGCACTTCGCACAGGCCTACTATTTACATTCTCACTGACATTCTGTCACACCTTTAGCTTCTCTCATTCCTTGGGAGTCTCAGAACATCAGAGACTTCCTACTCCTGAAGAAGGGTGATTGCGCCCAAAAGCTTGCTAAGAACTTTTTTCCAACTACTCAGTTGGTCTAATACAAGATATCACATCTAATAAAGAACCCTGCCTGCCTCTTAATTGCACTGTACTCTAAAAAAAAAAAATAGCAATTCAAACCTGTACAGACTGGTAGATACTTTTATACAGACTTTATAAAATGGATACCTGGATACTTTCGTTTAAAGGAGGTCACGCCCAAGTATTCGCTGACTTGCTCCTGAAGCATATAATATTCTCCTGTTTCATCCGGTGGCCATTTGTATTCTATCAGATTTTCAGCAGGGAAGTAGCTAAAGCTAGGCATAAAAGACAATAGACTTGTTATATAATTGTTTGCTATATACATGGATGTACTTAAGTCAAAGCAATCATTATGAATGCCTTATTTCTACAATTTGATCTCATTTCTTTTTAAGTCAATTAAAAACGATGAAGAGTTAGATCTACCCTTCAGAACACAGGCTCCTCCTACCTTGTCTCAGAACTATGAAGCATACTCCATTTCATTAGGCTTTCACAAAGCTAGCATTCCTCATAGTATTAAGGGAGGCAAAAATCAAGGTATGTATTAGTTGTGACAAGGTAACAAGAAAATGCTGGCACAGACTTCCAAAAGTTCTTACTGAGATATATTTAAAATATTTTAAGATCTGAGATGTACAATCAGACACAATTAAATTCAGGATATTTCAGTTAAACTTACATCAAATAAAACTATATTGAAAGAGTATGGAAGTTGCCCGAAATCCATTTCATTTACCATCACAGAAGTCAGAGTATGTCTGAACACATGAAAAGAAAAAGACACTGACTCTTTCCTAAAACTATAGAAAGATGCAATGAAGCAGTGTTTGAAAAACTCAGTAAAATGATATTACCCAAGATCTTGACTAGAAGTTTCACAACTTCGAGAACTGTCCCCTGAGCCCATACGTCGTCTTTTTGACGGCTGGCTGCCATCATTTGAATTTTCTTCTGTGTCATCCTGCAATAAAAGCATGGAGCACAAGCATTAAGAAAAATCTAGCCAGTACTCAATATATTATAATACCACTATTTAAAGAATAATACAATAAACTCTGGGGTCAGCCATTCTGTGTCAGAATAAACTTACCCCCTAGAACTATTGCACCATTTCAAATGGGTCTCCTATAAGTCAAACTGCTCTAGTTTGCACAGCACTTTGCTCTCCTGCACTGGCTGGCTACTTGCCTAATGGGTAAAAGTACAAGGGAAGCTAAGCCACTCTATTGTCCCCAACCAACCCTTTAAATCAGGTGAGAAAAAAAAAAGGAGTGGGAAGTAGACAAAGGTTTGGTTCTGCTCATCTCCCATGCACTCAATGGCACAGCTCCATCAGCAGAGACAGCACTCTATGAAAATCACAGAGAAAACAGGGAGTATGGCTAACTCCCCCAAATATATAAATATCCTTCTCAGGATTCCTGGTGGCAATGCAGAGATGCTCAGTCCTTCTTTGGGGCTGATATAAATCAAGGAACACAGTATGGCCAGCAGCAAAATGAGGGTGTATATAATCACCCTTAAAGTATCAGTAAAACTCACTTTCTTAGATGTATAGAAGGAACCATACATAATTTACATAAAGCTCTGAACAGAGCATTACAGAGTAAGTGCCTTTCAGGAAGAGAATGTAGAGAAAGAAACTGATGCAAAGCAGATGGAAAAATACAGGTAATAGGAACCTTCTTTTCAAAACAGAGCTATCACAGAATAGAAATGATAACATCAATAGCACTTCTTGCCAGCCAGATTTCAAGAGATTTAATGGCAAAAGAAGAGATGTTGTTTAGAATATAGGCTGTGGTGAGATCTCAGGGGCATATGTTCAAAGGTAGAAATAAAATGGAATGTATGTAATCATAGCAAAAAGATGTCATCTAATCTAATGTTTACTTTGTTTGATGGATCTTCATCTACAGCCCATTTCCCCCTTTCATTTGTATAGGTCTTTCATACAGCATCAAGGAAAACAAAAGCACATATA